GCATACACACATATACACATTTGAGAGAGCAAAGAGCATCGAGAGAGAGAGAGAGCAAGGGAAACATTGAGCGCAGAGGGATCTTTTGTTCAACCATCGACCATCTCGGTCGAGCGCATAAAGCGAAATGATTGTGCTCTCGCATATTTTTGTAGTCCGACCCCTAAAAGTGATGAGCCGAGCAAATACGAAGTTGACTGGGAGATTACCCTCGAAAATAAGTGTGCAAAATACTTTACACTACGTGTCCGGTCTATGTGTTCTCTGGTTAGTGGTATTACTTTAAGATAACTGTATATATACATATAGTTATAGCTTATATTTCTATAATGTTATATTGTACGTTATTTTAAAGAGTTTTATGAATTAAATATACATATATATATGTAGAGGTAGTGTTTTTATATATTTCATTTAATTTACAAATATATTCATCCCAACTTTTTGCCAAAGCTTTAAAATTAATTCAATGTTCATTTTATTAATTTAATTTAATGATATTCAATTGTTTTTATATGTTATTTCGAATATTTAATACTCTCTATATAAAAATATCACTAATTTTCTTATTATTTATTTATTATTATTATAATTATCATTATTATTACTATCATTAGTTTTATTTATATTATATATGTTTGTAAATTTATTTGTACATGTTTTAATAGATTTTTCTGTCTTTTTAGCATCTCAATAAATGATATTGTAATTGCAAAATTTAAATCGCTGCCACATTTTAATTGCAATATTCAGCAATGCCCGAAATATAATCGCTGCGGGCGATTCCTGTGACGTTGCCAGGAAGTGTGTGAATGACTATTAAATTAGACAACTTTTTACGAGCCACGACCTTGAAAGTGAACAGGAACAGGCAGGCCGGCAGCTAGACGGCCCGGCAGTTGCGTGTCAGAGCCTTGACTAAGGTCAAAGCCAAAGCCAAAGCCAAAGTCAAAGCGAAAGCCAAAGCCAATGTCAGCCTCTGACACTGTTTAGCTGGAAGCGAGTGCCCAACGGTCCGCCGATTCCCCAGTCGCAGACAGACCAGACCCTCCTCTACGACAAACAATGCTCGTAAGTAGCTAGACCGACCGGGTCTGGGTCTGGGTCTGGCTGTGGGCCTGGGACTCTCTGTCTGTGTCTGCTGCTGCCGTCTGTGCCGCTGACTCTGTTTGGGTCTTGCTACGTGCGGCATGTTGCGACTTTAGCAGCGGCGTCGGCGGCGGCCTTTGGGAGCGTAACTTTGTCTGCCCTTTTTCGTTTTAATTATATATATTTTTTGCGCCCTCTGCGTGCTGTGAGGCTGGTGCCAGAGCGAACGGCACAAATGGTTGACCCCAACGCTTGCTACTTACTCTGCGAGTTTGCTACGTGCAACGCGTGGTGGATGGATTATGCTGCTGCTTAATGGAGGGGACCAGCAGACCATCGAGCCAACGGACCAACGGACCAGCAGACCGAAAGCCTGTTGCCCATTTGCCTGCGCAAACAATGCGGATGCCCCGGCGTGATGACGTGGAAAATGTTGCCGCATGCCGCGACAGACTGAGTCAGCGATTGGGTCTGGGTCTGAGACTGTGTCTGGGTCTGGCTGGGACTGGGACTTTAACTTTAACCGCAGCAGACAAACTGTCTACCGCGTGACTTAATTAGCCTGCCTGACTGTGCATTGTGTGATTGTGATTGTGACGAAGGCTTGGCGCAATAAAAACCCAAGCCAAAGAAGGGGCCGAAGGCGTTTAGCGGCAGCAAAACAGATGGATGGATGGATGCACTTACCCCAGTTGGTGTTCCATTGCCAGCGGCTACTGCGGTGGCATTGACGACGACGGCATTGGCGCCAGTCGCCTTGCCCTTACCGCGTCCGCGCTTCGCATCGGCACGGATGGGTTGGCCGTCGGCACCGTAAACGATCTGAAAATTGAATAAATGGCAGAGAAAAGTTTTCGTGAGTGACTTGATTAACTCGTAGAAATAATGAGAAACGTTAAGTGTTAATTTGTTCTCACTTGAGAATGAAAAAATAAACTGTTAGAAAATCACTTAATTTTACATTTGATTTCATTACAAAATGCTAGCTAACATGATTCGAAAGCACTTATTAGCAAATATATATATATGTATTTTTATTGTAGTTTATATTTGTATTATTTTTATTTATTTATCTTTGTATATAGCTTAAACATGCGTTAAATTTGCATTAATACAGTTTTAAAATACGTTAAATAGTCAAGTTCTACACTTACAGTGTTTCCAAATTTATTCAGTTTAAATAATCAAAATGATATAGTAAAGACACTAACCAGTTATGTAAAGGAAACTTAACCGAAGCACTGCTTGAACAGAACTGCATGCATTTCACATTGTTTTTGCCATTCCGTTGAGCCAGTAAGTTTACTCAACATGGTGTCAACCAGGGCTACATCATAAGCAGTGCACAGCAAGCAGTTGTTGAATGAACGTGCATGGTTCACACGCGACTCGCGCGCGTTTTTCTTGAACTGCTTGTACGATTTAGGGCGTTTTTATTTTGTATGAAAAGTCTTCTGTTCAACTACTTACTTATAAAATTGATTAAAATAAATTTATGTGAAAACTAAAAATACAAATAATATAAGGTGTCATTGACCTATTATTTAAACACAAAAGACACCCTCAATAAAACTCTCTAGTTTCAAGTGGAAATTATCCTCACTGTAAGATGAGCCTCTGATAATTCCAATAGACATGAGAAATGCTGCACATATTTTATTCCGCGACTTATGGCAGTCACATACTTGTAAAGCCTCACTCGGCATCTATTTCCGGCGAAAAGTCATAAATATCATTCTTCGAGACTCAGACGCGGCTGTGTCTTAGAGTGCTTCAGCGCACAGGAACCATTAAGCATTAAGTGCTGGGAACACACATAACTGTGAACGGTAAGCGGAAAATTGAATATCCGAATGGAAATCTAGTGCTCGCCTCTACACACGCACACACACTCAGATAGAAACACGCGTGCGCATCCATCTTATGTGCGCAGGCGCGGCGCAGCATCCGAAAATAGACGCAGCAGACGGACGCGACATATGGACCCAGACGAACGCCAACTGCTGGAGTGCAAGGCGGGGTGGAGGGAGGTGCAATATGTAGATGGGGATGCGGATGGCGGGCGATATGCGCGACTTTGGGGTATGGCATACTGCAGCAGGCAGCAGTGTTTTGTGGAAATGAAAATGGACGCGGATGCTTCGCAGGAGTGCTGCTGGAATGCCCTTGTCGCTGTGCCTGCTCTGAGTGACAGACGACTGCGCCTTAACGGTAAATAAGCAACGCCTGGCAGAGCAGATGCAGATGCAGATGTGGATGGGGCAAGCTGCCGTAAGATGCCGATGTTGGCACGCGCAGGCGCGCACACATCGCAGCCCGGGCAGAGGGCGCACATGTTGCTGCCACATCAACAGAACAGCCTCGTCAGGGGCTGCGCATATCTTGGGCAGTCGCATCCACACCACATCTACACACACATCCACATCCACTTTTAGCAGCAGTTGTCATTTCGGAAGTAATTATTTTAATGCAAGCTGCGAGCGTGCCATGCTCCCAGTCTCAGTCTCAGTCTCATGCTCAGTCCCAGACGCAGACGCAGACGCAGTCGCAGTTGCAGTTGCAGTTGTAGCTGCAGCCCCATGAAGTGACAGCAGCAATGACGCCAAAGACGACATCTTGTCGATGTCACATAGGCTTGGATTTCGTTGAGCATTACACACGCATACACACACATTAGAATATAAATGGGCCGGAGGGGCTGCTGATCTAAATTTAGTTCGGCTAAGAGTTACTGAGGTGATTTGCTGACTTTTCTGGAAATTGATATTGTGCAGCATTTACAGTGTACAGTTGGCACCAAAACATGCCAGCTAAACGCGGAGCACGCAGGGGTGGAGATTCAGAGCTGCATTCATACTTATCTCTGGAACAGATAGACATTTTAAGAGAATATCGTCAAACATTTATTTAATAGACTTTGAGAGGTATTTTTATAGAAAGTTGAAAATTATTGAAAGTTTTACTCTTTATATTAACATATTTATATCCATTCACGAAAGTGAGATGATTACGTTTTATTTTCTAGCAGTATCTTTATAAGAATCTGTATCTAGAATCAACGCAACGCTCAGTTTGTCTATATATGTAATTAGATTAATTTAAATTGAGATTATAATAAAAATCATAACTAAGCAACGAATGCTTTGGTAAAACTCTATTTAGTGGAACTCTTTTCAAAGAAAAAGTCTCACATTTTCATATAGTATTAAATATATGCAACAGCAGGTGAAAATTAAAAAAAATTAATAAAAATTAAAAAATTAAATATATAAACCATAATAAATGATTCGAATCATATTTTTAAGATTGCTTTGAATGATTTAAAGCCATTTTGGTATTATGTAATTATTATGGCTCATGTGCAAAATTTAACATTTTCATCTTCATGTCATATTAACCAGTCATCTTAAATCGGAGTCATAATAATATCACATTTTTAGCCAAGACACAATAAACACAATAGTTTCGACGTACAAACCATATATGTATAGCATATGTACTTAGCTAACCCTTACTATCATTAAATTTATATTCTATTTGTTATTCAAATATTTGTTGACGTGCTCACTGTTTTCTAGCCTTGAGTGGTAAGAATCGCACATGTTTGTCGTATTGTCATCGTAGACATAATATTAATACACACGTACACTCATACACGCACACACACGCACTTATACATAATCAACTTCGCCCAAGTCGTTGCTTAGCACCGACGACTCGCGAGGCCGACGACCTACAGAGGCTGCGTGAAATTGAGCCAAAAATAGGCAAACACACACACACACACACACACAACAGAAGCTCTCTCACACACACACTCGCACGGTCACAATGGGCAATCAGCAGTCAGCAGCTGCTTCCTGCTCCTGTTCATTCAGCTTCCTTTTTGTTCGAGTTGACCTCACATCCTGGGTCCTGCGTCTCGGGTCCAAGCGCTGACAGTTTATGATCAGCAGACGAAACTGAATCAATTTTGAATCAATTTTTTTTCGCTTTCAGTTTTTTTGTTGTTAATTTTTTGCCGTCTTTATTAGCGCCATCAGATGAAAACGCATGTTGGCTTAATTGCTGTTATTAGTTAGTTTTTTGTTTTCATATCAACACACACACACACACACATGCATGGTTATTCTTCTTCTTTTTTATTGATGCCAACAAAGAAGTCTCGACAGCAGCTGCGACTCAATAATGAGACGCTATTTAGGCTCAAAAGCCCCGAGGGCGACAAAACTGTGCAACAGGTAGCCAAGTTAAACCGCAAAGGCCACACGCACAAACACAGCAACAGAACAGCACAAACACACAGCCAGACATACATATATACGCGCACACATACAGAAAGGCATTAAGGAACCTGACCTAGGCCAAGTGGATTTCGGGTAGGTGCCGTCGAGAGCGCGCACAAAGCAAAAGAAAAAAAAAAAAAAAATACAGGAGAAATAACAGAAATGCGCACAAAAAGTGGAGCTGAGTAGCCCTATCAAAGGCCCGCACATGCAGACGGTCGGCTGTTGCGCCTTTTATGACACATTTGTCGCCCTCCCCCTCCCCTGTTGCTATCCCGCACCGCCCTCCCCCTTACCAACCCAAGCTGGCAACAGCAGTTTACTTCATCGTCATCATAATGAGCAAATGGGCGCCCCATACAAAGTTGCTTTTAGGCAGGGCTCAATGTGCGTGTCTCTCTGTCTGTCGCTCTTTGTGCTTGTGAGTGTGTGTGTGAGGTTTTTGGCAACCCTTTGCTTGATGTATTGCAAGCTCAGCTCTGCTTCTCCCTGCTCACGGCTGCTGCTTTAGGTGCTGCCGCTCATCGAACCCTTCGAGTGCCTTTAGCTTTACTACCTTCAGGTCGTTCAACTGACAACTGCTAGGCAAACGTTTGAGCCTTTTAATTGATAACCTTGACCTGGTGCTGGCGTCGCTCCTGCTGCTGCAGTTGCTAGGTAAATGTGCCAAATTTATTAATTACTTCCAGGGAAATGCCTGCGCTTCAATTGAGAGCAACAACCCCTTTCTGTTTTGGGGAGCTCTCACGGATAGGCCATGCAGCAACAGCAGCCAGATGTTTAGGACAACATCATTGTCCTGCCCCGGCTTCTGCCCCAGCAGCAGCAGCACCAGCAGCAATTTCAAGGCTAAGCACACCTTCCGCCCTGAGCCAGACAGAGGCGGAAAGGAGAGGAAGAGAGTGGATGAGCGAGGTGGGGATTACAGCTGTAACAGGCACATGCAGCGCTAATCTTTGTTTATTTTGATTATCACTTTCGTTGCGACACTACCGCCCGCCATGCCCTTGAAGGTTATGACTGCGGCTTGCGTGACCGAAGAGCTGTTGAGCTGAACAAGAGCTGGTTAAATGACTAACTGTCTGCCGAATGGCATTAGGTGTTGAATTATGCGGCACGGCTGGAGCTGCCGGTGAATCACACGGATTTGCTTTTTGCTGGCTCTTATGTATCTTGTATATATATATATATATAATATATATAATATATATATATATATATATATATATGTATGTGTGTGTATTTTCTATATCTCTGTTGACGTGTGCGTGTATATAGTATATATTCCTTTCGGATTGTGGCTGTGCGTCTTTTATTTCGGGGGTTGACTTTTGTGCCAATGGGGGTGGGTTTTTTTCGTTTTTCGTTTTATTTTAGCAGTGTAATTGAAGCCAACCCTGCACTCTTACATATGTATGTTTATATACATATATGCAAGTATTTGTGTGTGTACATACGTATATCTGTAGATACATACATACAGCTTTTCGGCGAGGGAGTTGGTAAATGCGTCATCGTCAATTTGCTACACGCAAT